TTAGATAATACTTCCATGTAATTTACCTTCAGCGTAGCAACCATACCACTTTCAACCCACAGCTCAAGTGACCCAAATTCACCATCACTGACGTCTAACTAGGAATTGAATGTGCAGTCTTATCGAGGGAATATCGATCAATGGACACATGGAGTCTTTCCCGTTCATGTTTCTTACATCCAGTTTCTTTTCTCTCTCTTTTCTCGCTTCCCTCAGTCGATTTTTCACTACTTTGTAGAGTGTCATTTTATTTTTTTTATCGACTTGAGTTATTGGCATGAGATGCGAGTACTAATGGGATTCACCACCAAGTTCCGGATTCACTTCTTTTTAACCTTTAACTCTTTATAATCTTTTTTTTGTTTAAGGGAAGAGAGAGGGAAACTGTACTCATTTTTCAGACCCGAACGAGGATTCTGATCCCCTTATACCAATTCTCAAGACAAGAGAACTTGATAGATTAAGTGAAGTCAGCTTTGGATCGTTCAGATACTGAGAGCATGGGTAGCACTGGCAGATCGATCCACTTGGGCGTTTTTATGTTTTGAAATTTGTAGTGAGTGGCTAAAAGAATGGTCACTAAGGCATTAGTTGAATGATCGATTCCAAAGAAAATGGTAGTTCTTGAAAACTTTTTTTGACTCGATAAAACTATGCAAACAAAATGACTCGTAACCATCAAAAAAGAAAGCGGTGTTAGTAGCATCCTCCCCTATACCTACCTCACACCATCTCGGTGTGACAACAAATCCAAGAGAGGGGGGAGAAACAAATATAAAAATCCTAAAAGAAGAGAAAAGAAAATTTACAGTGCAATGTAGGAGACTGGATTTAGATTGGGTTCAAGGGTGGAGATAGGGAGGGCGCTTCATTTCGACCTTGGCACTCTTGATTGATCCTTCAAGAACGATGTAAAATTCCCACAAACTTATCGATTGACTTCTCACCCAAGTCCTGCAACACTTATTTAAGAAAACATAAGAAAATAGGATAAAAGACAGATGTATGTACAAAAGATAACTGGGGACTACCTCCTAATCGCGCTTGTTTTGAGTCTCATAGCTTGACTATATGTGCTTGCTAGTCATAAAAATCTAAAAGGTTGAGTCAATTCACCTTTGGTCCTTCTTCTGCAAGAATAAGAATCAAAGTGCGCAAATGTGCACACTACTGTCCATACAAAATAGAAAAATGTTTCATCAAGGACATTCACCACATATGTAGCATAAATCTTTAAATATTCCTTGATGGTCAGTTGATCATGAGAATGAAATGCATTTAGTGAAAAGATGAAGTCGACTACAGGTTCAAATGAGGTTTTCAAAAAGTAGTCTACTTTATCACCATCAATCAAATAGAACATAATATCCTTATTCTCATGATAGTCTCGACCTGGAGGTTTTCTATCTCATGCAATATCTTATCTACATCAAGTTCATCCCCCAAGTTGGCTAGTTCATGAAGAGGTCCAGAATTCTCAAGCATCAAAAAGTCTGATTCAAGTTCATTTGAAGCACAAAGATAATTTATGTCAAAACATACTTCATGATAATCTCTAGCAAGCTTTTCTACTCTCAACTCATCTAGTCTTTGAGTAGCACATATTAGATCTAGACATTCATTAATGATCGCAGAATAATCAATATCAGAGGTAATATCTTCAACCTAAGAGACGACTACACCTCCGGTAACAACCGTAGTTTCAGACACTGCAACAACAGAAGCTTCTACTGCAGCTCCACAACTACCTGAAGCACCCAGACATCCTATGACTACACGGTCACGCAACAACATTAGCAAACCAGTAACTAGGTACAAGCTTACTGTGGCACTGCAGACTGATCATCATTGGATTCCAGCAACCTGGCAACAAGCTATGAAGCACAAACGCTGGCGAGATGCAATGAGTCGTGAGTTCAACTCAACTTCAGAGAACCACACTTGGGATTTAGTTGTGTGTTCTCAAAGCATGAATATTGTTGGATGTCGTTGGGTGTTTACCATAAAATATAACCCTGATGGAAGAATAGATCGATACAAAGCATGAATTATGGCCAAGGGTTTCCATCAACAGCAAGGTCTGGACTACACATACACGTTTAGTCCCGTCATTAAATCAACAACAATTCGGACTGTTCTTGGTCTAGCCGTTAACAAGGATTGGCCTGTTCAACAAGTTGATGTCAACACTGCGTTTCTTCAAGGGCATCTTACTGAGGAGGTTTTTATGTCTCAACTGCCGGGGTTCACTGACGCTGACCGTCCTTCTCATGTCTGCAAGCTACGTAAGGCAATTTATGGCTTGAAACAAGCCCCAAGGGCTTGGTACTCTGAGCTTCGATCTTTTATTCTTCAGGCTGGCTTCACAAACTCCCTATCTGATACTTCCTTTTTCATATACAAGAATCATGGCGACTTTGTCTATGTGCTTGTCTATGTAGATGACATCCTAATCACTAGTAGCAACTCAGCTCTTGTTCAACGTTTTATTTATGTTCTTGCACACAAGTTTTCTATCAAGGATACACTACAAGAAAACTCGTCCATTACTAGGGCAGGTTTTCCTCGTTAGTTCCTAGTAAATGGCCTTTTACTAGGAACTTACGAAGAAACGCGTTTCGTTGAAACACGTTCATCGTAAAGCCTTTTTCCTCGTAAAGTTGTAGTAACCACTTTCCTCGTAATTTCCTAGTAACCACTTTCCTCGTAATTTCCTAGTAACCACTTTCCTCGTAATTTCCTAGTAAACACTTTCCTCGTAATTTCCTAGTAATGCTTTACTAGGAATTTACTTCGAAATGTTTTTCCACTTTCCTCGTAATTTCCTAGTAATGCTTTACTAGGAATTTACTTTGAAATATTATTCCCTATTAAAAAAATTAATTAAAATAAATATAAATAATATATTTAAAAAAAATTAAAGAATCCAAATTATAAATAAAAAAAGAAATAACAAAATATTTTATAAATAACTAAATATTTAAGTTTTAAATTCATATACAATTAAATAGAAAAAAAAACTAAACTACGGATGTTGCTCGTTAAATTGACGAACGAAGTCGTCATACCGACTCGACAACTAGTATAATTAATATACTAGTATCATTTAAAAAAACAGTTAAAAAAATTAAATCAACCTAATCTAAATTCCCTAAACTAACCACCTAATCTAAATTCCCTAATCTAACCACCTAATCTAAATTCCCTAAACTAACCACCTAATCTAAATTCCCTAATCTAACCACCTAATCTAAATTCTCTAATCTAACCACCTAAGTAGGAAATAGAGAGAACCTTAAGAGAATTC